AATGATGAAGAACCCAAGGGACTGAAGCGCATCTTCACCTTTGGCAAGAAGAAGGCGACTGGAGCCTCGAAAGAAGACGAAACATCGAAACCCGAATCCGACGCTCAGGTCACCACTGGGGCTATCATCAACCTTATGGCTGTCGACGCTTTCAAAGTCAGCGAGATCTGCGCTTATCTACACTTCCTCTGGGCCAACACCCCTGTCCAAGTTGTCGTGGCTGTCTTCTTGCTCTACCGCATCTTGGGTTACAGCTCGATTGCTGGTATTGGTATGATGGTTTTCCTGCTCCCGATCAACATGTATGTTGCGCGACAATTCTCCAAGATCCAGAAACTCATCCTCGCGGCCACCGATGCCCGCATCCACACGACCAACGAAGTCCTCACCAACATCCGGATTATCAAGTTCTTTGCTTGGGAGCAACGCTTCATTGGTCTGGTCAACGAAAAGCGGTACATTGAGCTCAAGCATCTGCGACGGAGATACATTCTGTGGGCGGTAGCAGCTACGATATGGTCGGGCTCGCCAGTCTTAATCACGTTCTTGTCCTTCCTCGTGTACACGAACGTTGAACATAAGGCGCTCATTCCGTCTGTCGCATTCACCGCCCTCTCACTTTTCCAAATTCTGAGGATCCCGCTGGACCAGCTCGCAGATATGGTTGCCCACGTCCAAGAATCCAAGGTTTCAGTTGATCGTATCGAGGAGTATCTGTCCGAGCCTGAGACGGACAAGTACTCGCAACTCGTGACCCAGAAGAAGGACGAAGATGGCCAAGCCATTATTGGATTCGAGAACGGTACATTCAGTTGGGGCGGAACAGACATGGCAGACCAGGCCTCGGCAGATGCCTTCAAGCTGATGGACCTCAATCTGACGTTCCGTGTCGGCAAGCTCAACGTTGTTGTTGGACCCACTGGCTCTGGAAAGACTTCATTGCTCATGGGCCTGCTTGGTGAAATGACAAAGCTCAAGGGTAGTGTTTACCTGCCTGGTGGACTAAGCCGAGAGGACCTGACTCCCGACCCCGACACTGGACTCACTGACAGTATAGCTTACTGCGCTCAGCAAGCTTGGCTTGTCAACGGTACGGTCAAGGACAATATCGTATTCGCAAGTCCGTTCGACCAGAAGCGCTACGACGAGGTTATCGAAGCCTGCTCTCTGAAGCGAGATCTTGAAATTCTTGATGCTGGCGACGAGACGATAGTGGGAGAGAAGGGTGTCACGCTCTCCGGAGGCCAGAAACAGCGTATCTCATTGGCCCGTGCATTGTACAGCAAGGCTCGTCACGTCCTTCTTGACGATGTTCTGAGCGCTGTCGACGCCCATACTGCCAAATGGATCTTCCATTACGCACTTCACGGACGACTCATGGCCAACCGAACTTGCATCCTCGTCACACACAACGTGAGCCTCTGTTTGCCACACGCAGAGTTTGCTGTTGCACTTGAGAACGGCCGAGTGGTCGCACAAGGTACAGCAGATGAGGTCATCAACTCAGGAAAGCTTACCGAGGATCTTACTAAATCACGGCCCGCATCAAGAGGAGCGTCCAAGCCTCCTTCCCAAGAGCCCTCGGATGCTGGTGAAGAGGCAAACGGTGATGCCAATCACGCCAATGGATCTGCTAATGGCACCGCAAATGGCAAACCGGACGCCAAGAAGAAGAAGCCAGCCGGCAACAGTCAGGACGAGAAGAAGGCAGAGGGGGGCGTCAAGCTGAGCATCATCACCATGTATCTTCGAGCTATGGGCCCCTGGTACTACTGGCTTGGTGCTACCATTGCTTTTGTAGCTGCGCAAATCTCTTCGGTATCTACCAACCTCTGGATTCGCACATGGGCGAACGCGTACGCTGAAAAGGGCTATGCTGTGACGAGCAGCCATCACCAATCTCCGGTAACGCATGCTCCGACAATAAGTGGCATGGGAACATGCATGAACAGTGGCACCTGCAGCTGGAACATTCCCTTCTTTACACAACCGGAGCAGCAGTCGTATGCCTACAACACCATGCAGACTACCTTCAGTGACCCGAACCCGGACGTCAACTCTGCATACTTCCTCAGCGTTTACGCCGTTCTTGGACTCATTTTCATGTTCATCACCTTCTTACGAGAGGGCTTCCTCTTTGGAGGGTCTCTCGCTGCATCCAAACGCATACACGAACGACTCATTCAAAAGGTTACGCATGCCAAGTTCCGCTTCTTCGATCAGACCCCACTCGGTCAGCTCATGAACAGGTTCTCCAAGGACATTGAGTCAGTCGATCAAGAGGTAGCGCCAGTCGCCATTGGTGTTGTCCATTGCTTCGCTTCCATCATCACGATCGTCATTCTTATTTCCATCATTACTCCTGGTTTCCTGATCGCGGCCTTCTTCATCTCCATCCTCTACTTTCTCATCGGTCGCTTCTACATCAACTCGTCCCGCGACCTGAAGCGATTGGAGTCCGTACATCGAAGTCCGCTGTATCAACAGTTTGGTGAGACACTATCCGGCATGACGACTATCAGAGCCTACGGTGACGAACGCCGCTTCATCCGCGAGAACTTGGCGAAGATTAACACTCAACATCGTCCCTTCATCTATCTCTGGGCAGCCAACAGGTGGCTTGCGTTCCGTGTGGACGTCGTCGGTGCCATGGTCGCCTTCTTCTCCGGAGCTTTCGTGGTGCTCAGCGTTGGACGCATTGATGCAGGCGCAGCGGGTCTCGCACTTACCTATGCTGTTACCTTCACCGAGAACGTCTTGTGGTTCGTTCGTCTCTACTCTGCTAATGAACAGAACATGAACTCGGTCGAGCGTGTCAAGGAGTACCTCGATGTTGACCAGGAAGCTCCATCTGTCATTTCAGAGAACCGTCCACCATCCAACTGGCCGAGCAAGGGATCCGTAGAGTTCATCAACTACAGCACGCGATACAGGACTGACTTTGACCTTGTCCTGAAGGACTTGACCTTCAAGATCCTTCCAGGTGAGAAGGTCGGTGTCGTAGGCCGAACGGGTGCCGGCAAGAGTTCAATGGCACTTGCCTTGTTCCGGGCGCTGGAGGCTGAGAAGGGCAAAATCTTGATCGATGACATTGATGTTGGCACGATCGGCCTGCACGATCTGCGGGAGAACGTCGTCATGGTACCGCAAGGTAGGCATATCTTTATATCTCATTAGGATGGAACAGATGCTGACACTACACAGATCCGACACTTTTCACAGGCACGATCCGAAGCAATCTCGACCCCTTCTCTATCTTCACCGATGAAGAGATCTACACCGCCCTTCGCGAAGTCAACCTGATCTCTACTCTATCACGCCCTGCGTCCGGCTCTGTCACTCCTACTGGAGCGACCACCCCACCTCGCGCTGTCCAGATTCCCGTTCCGACAACAAACGCTGTGACAGCGGATGTCAACGGCAGCTACTCAGCCGCTACCACAAATCCCGGGTCCATTCTGGCGAACCGCGACTGGGATCGTGGCGAGACACAGGAAGACACTGTCGTGGTCATGCCTGATGGTCGTACTGCGGACCGCGACGATGTAGCGGCACAGGCTGCTATGGAGGCCGACAACAAGAACCCATTCAAGAACCTCAATTCGCTGGTGTCGGAATCCGGGTCCAACCTGTCGCAAGGTCAACGACAACTTTTGTGCTTGGCGCGAGCGCTACTGAAAGCACCCAAGGTTCTGCTGATGGACGAAGCCACAGCGTCCATCGACTACGCCACCGATGCGAAGATCCAAGAAACCATTCGTCAGATCAAGAACACCACCATCACGATAGCGCATCGCCTCCAAACAATCATCGACTACGACAAGGTCCTTGTTCTGGACAAGGGTGAGGTCATCGAGTACGGCCATCCCTACGATCTCGTCCGAAAAGATGGCGGTTCATTCCGCTCCATGTGTGAAACCAGTGGCGAGCTAGAAACCTTGACCAATACAGCAAAGACTGCGTATGAGTCGAAACCTACATCAGCTGCCCAATAGAAGATCGCAGCTCCGCCGTACGGTTGAAGGGTCTTGGGATGAGAGGGGAGAGTCAAATTTAGACGGAGTTGGAGACGGAAAAAAAGCATGTGATCAAGGTTTTGCATGAGCGAGGCATTATTTCCTTCTGTTTCATTGTCGGCGTATACCAAACAGGGCCTATGGGTGGTCACCTGCTCTTAGTGTGCATATAATTATAATCGACACATTGACGTACCCACCTTATACAAGAGAAAAACTGAATAGGTCTAGAGCCTACATCAACGCCGGGTTACCTATTTTGTAGGTTTTTGTGTTGATGTAGGCTGCAGGCCTATCTAGTTTTTTCTTAGTTAACATGTACTACTAAACACCTTGGAGCCTACATTAAGATAAAAACATACAAAGTAGGCGGTCCAAGGTCAACGTAGGCTCCAGGGTGTCCGGATTCTCCATTGTATGTTGTGACTTGGGTAAGCGGTGCTCGTCAGCATGTACATGTCAGCCAGTATCGGATCTTGGCGGATCTGACAAAACGCACCACCACGTCGACAACCACCGATCAGTAAACAGAAGCAAAGGCTGAGCGCATGCTACTATCGAGCCAGTCCTGCTACTGCGTTCCATCAACAATATTCTGATCGGTCAGCAAAAAGTGCAAATTACCCCGTTGGGCTTTGTGGCTTTCGCTGAAGTACCAATCACGTGGCTGTTAACCCGCCGCTTTCGGGTCTTACTTGCCTTGTCCGGCGTCTTATCAGCCTTTCGGCATGCAACTTGATCTGGTGTATGAGTATTCGCTCGGTGGTGAATAATGGCTTATGCTGACTGTGGTGTTGATTTGTCGTTGGGGAGGAGATGGCTTTCCAGTGCGTTGGCTGGACGGGAGGAGGTGAGCAGAGCCGCTTGATGATTAGAATAGATGGTAAAGTGTGTAGGTATAAAGGGGATTTTGCACCGGAAATGTTCGAGTAGCCTTTTTGATAGTATCGATTCTGTGAGATCTCGTTCGCGTATCTGGAAACCATGGAGACTATCAAGGAGATCGTCCGCGACGCGCCTTTTGGCCAACTCGTTCGTTACGCAACACGTAACCGGTTCTTCAAGTATCCCGAAGAAATACCTGGGTTCGAAATCCCATCTGCATACACCGACGTCGAAAAACTTCCCTCCCATACCGCAGGAGTTGAAGGGACTTCAACACGCAACTCAACCTCAACCACCCCGCTTCCATCGCACACCCTACCATTCAGCCCTTCACGCCTCGAAGCCGACCTAGCCCTCCATACCACCCACTCACCCGTCCACTCAATCGCCCCCGTAAAGACGGCCGACGGCCTCATACTAGCCGAATGGTATACCACAACCGACACTGCGAACCCGCAGAACTGGTCGCAGGGCAAGAAGACATGGACGGCTTTCTTGATCTGTCTGTATACGTTTATTGTGTACGCTGGCAGTTCGATATACGTCAGTAGTACGCTGCTGGTTATGAGTGAGTTTGGAGTGGGGGCATTCAAGGCGAGTTTGGGGTTGGCGCTTTATGTGCTAGGTATGTTGCTGATCTTCGTTGAGAGAGACGATGGATAGGATGGATAGCTGACGGTGTGTAGGATATGGGATCGGTCCGTTGTTGTTTGCGCCTCTGAGCGAGGGTATGTGATGTCCTCTCCTGTCCCTCTTCATCGGATGCTCGTCCCGTGTGAGGAAGTTGTCGCGGACGTAGGCCTTGCTAACAGCTCATCACAGTACCACAACTCGGCAGAAACATACCGTACATCACGACTTTCGCGCTCTTCACCATCCTCACTTTGCCTACCGCCCTAGTAGATAATCTCGGCGGCTTCCTGTTCCTTCGCTTCCTACTCGGCTTCTTCGGAAGCCCCTGCCTAGCGAACGGCGGAGCTACGATGCAGGATCTGTACTCTCTGCTCCATATACCGTACGGCCTAGCTTTCTGGACAGCAGCCGCGTTCGCTGGACCAGCTCTCGGGCCTCTTCTATCTGGCTTCTCCGTATACGCTGAGAACTGGCGATGGTACGTACTCTTGCTTCATGAATACAGCCTTTTTATTCCCTCGATGCTGACTGTTCGTGTACGTGTTTAGGTCCCAATGGGAACTCCTCTGGATGGCCGCCCCAGTATTCCTACTCTTTTTCTTCTTTCTCCCAGAAACGCAGCCTACCACCATTCTGCTTCACCGCTCCGCTCGCCTGCGTGCACTGACTGGCAATTCGAACATCCATACCCAAACCGAGATCGATCGCAAAGGCACCAAGTTCTCCGCAGAACTCCTCGATACTCTCATCAAACCTCTGGAGATCTGCGTCAAAGACCCTGCTCTCTTCTTCATCAACGTCTACTCCGCGCTGACATACGGCATCTACTACTCCTTCTTCGAGGTCTTCCCTTTGGTGTATCTGGAGATATACGGGTTCAGCGTCGGCGAGATGACGATTGTGTTTCTTTCGATCATCGTGGGATGCGTCATTGCTATGACAATTTACTTTTCGTATCTGAGGTTCTACCTCATACCGGATATCCTCAAGCAAGGACTGAGACCCCAAGAGCATAGACTCGTGCCGGCAATTTTCGCGAGTTTTGGGGTACCGATTGGGTTATTCATCTTTGGTGAGTCTGATTGCACGACTGGACTTGAGACATTGGGTACTAATGGCGAGATGTATAGGCTGGACGGCTCGTCAATCTGTACATTGGATTGTTTCGACTATCGGTATCGCTATATATTCGAGTAGCGTGTACATCATCTTCCAGGCTGTCTTTTGTAAGTTATCGCCTATACCTCTACTGTGGTTACTGTTCATATCGCTAACGTTTCTGCAGCCTACGTGCCCATGTCTTACCCGCAATACGCCGCGTCTCTATTTGCGGGCAACGACTTCTGTCGCTCCGCCTTCGCTTTCGGATCCGTACTCTTCTCCCGCCCTATGTATCTCAAATTGGGCATAGGAAAGGGTATTAGTCTTCTGGGTGGCTTAAGTGTCATGGGTATTGTAAGTTTGACGAGATCCAGCAAGTCTGTGACTTTGCGCTAACTCGAAACAGATTGGCATGTATCTGATCTGGGTTTATGGTGCGAGGCTGAGAGCGAGGTCGAAGTTCGCTGTCTGAGATGCGAGCGGCGACGATGACGATGGAAATGACGTCATGTGCGGAAGGCTGGGTGGCTGGTATCATCTTGCCTGCCTCCAGATGCGAGAGATGCGTGTTTGGTCTAGACGCAATTGGGAATGGTCCCACCACGCCCGGACAACGGATGTGCGATGATGGTAGAGAATTCACATTTAAACTACTATGAAACAAACATACTCGAAGTGACTGTTGGAAATGAACATAACCCGCTTACCTGTGAGAAGAAGAATGACGGTTCTAGGGGCAACCTAGAACCAAAAAAAGAATACGGATATTGAGGAGAGCCCCGATACCCGCTGCCTTACCTGGTAGCGTCAAGGAGACCTGACGCTGCAGCATATTGGCTTACCTTCCCATATATGCTACACCGAAATGGCATCCGATGTGCAAAGGGTGTATAGCAAGCATCGGGCAAAGCACCGAATACTGCTGTCTTCTGACCATGGAACTTCGATCAAACGACCGAAAGTTCCTCTCCGTGGCAATGCATATCGGGGTCACGCCCCGATATCCTGGTCCTCCGTGTTTTCCACACTCAGTCGTCTTCCAACGCCGCCCGCTTGTCTTCCTCGCTGGGCTTGATGCTATTGAGGGGAACGGAAGTGGCGGCAGGCGTGGGTGCGGCCTGAGAAGCGGCGGGAGCAGCGGGGGCAAGTGTCGGCGAAGAGGCTTCAGCAGCTGCTTCAGATGCAGTCTGCCACGCTTTTGCTTTCTTACGATCCTCTGCTGCCTTCTCCGCGGTAGGCACGTCATCCGTCTTGGCTTCGCTCACAAAGTCCCGGGCATACTGAGACGAATTGTCCGGCCGAGCAGGAGCTTCAACACGACGAGCACGACCACTAAGACGACCACGACCATCAAGACCACGACGACCACCACGATGACTACCACGTGAGGCGAAGCCACCGGAGCGCCCGTGGGAGTTGAGCTGCTCGGCGGCGGCCTTCTCAGCGGCAACCTTGTCGGCGGCGGAGACGTCTGGCAAGGCGCGGGGCTGATAGGTATCATACAGAAACCCTAAGTTGATTAGCAATGTAAAATACCAAACGATGTACCACTTACCAAGAAAATTGGCAGCACCATTGAAGGCAGCCATTTTCTCGCCGACCTTCCGTGACAAGATGGCTTCCTCCTCACCCGCCACCCTCCTCTCCTCGTTCTCCTTCAGGAGCTGCTTTCGCCGGCGAGCCCGCTCCTCCATCTCACGATCCATCACCTCTATCGCACGCCTCTCCTCCTCTAGCACGAGCTCTTGCTGCCTCCACTTCTCTTGATTGGCAGCAAGTAGCTTTTCTGCGTTCGCTAGAACAGCCGCCAGATCAGCCTCATACGCTGCGTCCGCAGCCTTCTTCTCCGCACGCATTCGCCGCTGCAAAAACGTTAGCAGAGCGCTTCATCAGCATAGACAATTCTTACCCTCTTCTCTTTCTCTCGATCTGCGCGCACCTTCTCTTCCTCTGCGCGCACTCGCGCAACCTCATCCGCAACCTCCGCCTTCCGCACACGCTCCATTTCCGCCAACTGCATCTCCGCCATCTTCTCCTGCAGCTCCTTCAGCTGCCTCGCCTGCTCTTTCCTATCGTGTCTGCGCCCCATTGTGTGATAGGATGCGATGTGTTGCTGTTGAGAAAACTTTGCAACGCGAGCTCCAAACCGATATATCTGTAGTGGTAGAACGCACAGACTCACGACAAGACTCACGTGACTATCAACTGCATTATCACCGTTCACCGTCAGACAATCAAGAACAAGGGAATTTAAAGAATGAGGCTTTGTAAAGGCTTTGTCTAGCCTGGCAAGTCCCAAAAGGAGGTTTCCTAAACCCTTGACTACTATGCACTTCCTGATGCCGAACTGGCATCCACACGATGCATTAGCGAAGACTGATCTACTGTGGAATCCCATTGCAGACCGCGATACTGCGGATATAGGACGATGTCATACAAGTGTGCCATGGCGTCCGTGTGAGTGTACTTCGTAAACTCTGCTATAAGTTTTACGTTGGAGCTGGCGAAGAGCTTCACCTCCGCCCCGTCGGGTGGGCAGTCACGCTTCTGGTGGCCACTCCGAGTGTAGTCATGGTGGGCACCAGCTCCACACTCACCCGCTGGTCAAGCATGCCGCTACTCGAGGAGTACAGTGGAACCACAGTGTCCTCTTGTCACGCGTATGATTTTAGCGGTAGTGTGCTCATGAAGCGGCGGACTGTCCGAGTCCAGCTCCACCCATGCCGCCTCGGCCCATCTGTCCGCGGGGATATGTACCGAAAATGGAAGCCATTTTTGGGACTGCGAGCTCGTTGCTGTGGCCGGATGAGGGAGGTCGTCGTGAGGCGTCAACAGTATGCCAGACTGGGTGTGGCCTGCTGGCTGTCCTCTCGCGGGTCAGATGCCAAAGGAGGCAGAGGCTGTTTTGGAGTCGGGTGCGAAGGAGTCGAGGGTTGCTCTATGGACTGTATTAGCTCCAGAACGACAGTCTCCTCACTCACCCCTCAACCATTTCGCCAGCATGTAAGAGGCGACAGGTCAAGAGGAGAAGGACTTCAGGTTTTGGGCCGGGTTTGGGCAATGCGAGAGAGATCAAGCGTGCTGACGGACGATGATACGGTAAATACTTCATCACAGGGACCTCGAAGATGGCACTACCTAGACTGACTTTTCTAGGACAGCCAACATGCTATGTTGCACCGGCTTCGCGACTTCGCGGAGACGATCGAGAAGAAAGAAGCGAAGAAATCGGCTCGCGAAAAGTTTCGGTGCGCGCGCAATGAGCAGACTTTGGAATGTGGCGATGAAACGGATACCTAGGTACGCGAGGGAGTACGCCATTTGGAGCGTATATTGGGCTCTTCGACAGAAATATTCGAGCACCAGCGTCGCGTTGCTCAGAGAAGAACACCAGCCGATAGAATGTGTGGAAGGCTGGGTGGCTGGGTGGTTGGCATCATCTTGGCCTCTAAATGTCAGGGCTCGCCGGCGTGTTTGGTCTAGACGCAATTGGGACTGGGCCCACCACGCTCGGGCTCCGCGGCGCATCAACACGGGGCATTGCTGGAGAGGCGTGGTTTGCGTCTTCTACGCCATCACCTTGAATGCAATTTCGATGACATGCTAGTGTACAATATCCAAAGCACAGTAACCTGCAATCCATCGTCTTACTATGAACATACGATTATGAATGCCGTGGCCATGGCCCCAGGAATACCGAGAAGTGAAAAAAGGGCAAAGGGTGCAAAGGGTATGTCTACGCGTACTGTCAACGCGGAGCGCATTTATCTCTAATACGCAATATAGTGAAGCGGCACACACAATGAAAATGCGCGCTGCTCCGACGCGCTGATCCTCCATCCTTTACTCCTGAGCTGTCCCCAACGTTACGCACACCTTCCGGTCAAGCCACACCCATGTCCTCGAGAAGAACTTCCCGGAATCAGTACACTTGATAGGTGCCGGCGTATGGACTGATGCGCTGGCCATCATGAGTTGCATGTGTTGGGAACACATTCGCGGTGGCTGTGGCGCAGAAGGGGCGACAAGGCGTACATTGAGCCTCCTCTTGGGCGTCACCCACCCTGCCGGGCGTTATCCATACCCTGCTGAGACAGCCTGATGCGCTGCGTCGACCGCGACTCCGAAGCATGCCGTATTTCCAGGCGAGTTCCGTCCATGAGACTTCGGCTGATCAATTCCCACATCGTTGCCAGGCAGGCAACGCGCCGTACTCTTATCTCATGGAGCGTAGTAGCTCCAGACAGACAGTATTCTCACCCATCCGTCGAGCGCCTCGCCAGTACATCGACATTTCGGTTACCCCAAGACATGCACGAGGATAAATGGGGTGGTGGCGTTTTGGCCGTCCCGCGGTGTTTGGTGGGCTGATTTGCCGCCCCCCTCGTCCGTCCAAGAATGTTCCGAGTCTGAATCTACTGCGGCAGCTCGCACTATTGGAATTGGACTCGCCAACACTGCTGCATATACGAGTTCAGCTGAGTTTGGCTGCAAGCCACGCCATAGGATTCATCACAAATGTTATTCCGATTTCACATCAGAGTGCACGCTTCATAGCCTTCTTGACTTCACGTGCGTGGTCCTTCAACGACTCAAAGCCGCTGATCGCCTTCAATCCAATCTTGAGCGTGGTGTGTCAGGTCATTCAGGTACCATGCCAGATAGTAAGAACTCACTGCACAACGTCCATCTATATCTCTACTTACGTATTTCTAGAGCATCCATATGCAGCGCTTTGCAAAGAAAACCTGGTCAATGCACGTCTAGATCCCTTATTCAACGCACCGCATTTGAAAAATTTCCTCAAATACCTATCGGAATCTCCATCACAATGGCCTCTCGGGTCTTACATGGAAGACCCGCCCTTCGCCTGGTCGTACACATGTCCGGAAGCTGGTGCTCTTCAACCCTGTTCAAACTCCACATCTAGGGGCTTCAATCCTGTCAGAAAAGCTGCAAAAGAACGAGACGATCCGGAACTACTCTTCCTCAACGGCCATCCTTCCTCTGGTTGGCTCAACACTATCGGCCACAAGTACGAGGTCGACATGCGCTTTTTCCAGCAGCATCTACGTTCCATCAAGCCTCCTGTATATCAGTATGCCGATCCTTCTCTTCCTTCGAGCTCTCGTCATTTCCTGAAGCTGAGTGTACCCACGATTGGTACTCTCTCCAATGCGTTGGAAGATGTCTTTAAAGCCCGAATGCTGCTTGCGGAGAATCTCAGAGATCAGCTTCGTGAGAACAATATAAGAACCCCCCCTATCGGACAGCCTATTATTCGGAGAGCATATTTGCACAACCGGAAACAATATACCTTCTTGCAAGAGGTTTCGATGTGCTTGCTGGGAGGTAATGGTGCATGGACGGGTATTGCTTATCCTACCGCTGCATACAACAAAAGCTAACAACGTCAAGTACTCATCTGGACTGATGCTGGTGGTGATGACGAAGATCCGGATCTGTCCTTCCTGTTCAAGCACGCGTCCCGGAAACCTCAACCCGACTCCGAACTTTGCCCTACCGTATTCAATCGATCCGAATGGCATGACGGGCCGGCCCCTCCCCCAGCCGCTTCTTCAAAGAAGCGCTTCACCGCGACTCAGACTTTCAACAGTCTACACAAGGAGTACGGCAGGAGTCTGAATCCCCAACGAATGAGGGAACATCCTTTCTATGCTGTCAGCGAGATCTATGCATTTGCTGCGGCAGCCGAGGACCAGTTATTGAACATGATGAAGGAGATCATCGATGAGCGCATGTACGCCTTAGTGAAAGTGGACATGCAAAATGAGCCTTCGTCAAAGGCTCTCTCTGAGCGGATCAACCTGCAGTGTGATCTGTCCGTCCTCGAGGAACGTTCCGATCGCATTAGCGACATCATCGCGTTTCTCAAGGCAGCTGATGACCCAGTCTGGTTTCCTCCATTCGCAAATCCTACACCGAACGGACCCATCATGACGGCACGGATGAACCTCTTGCAGGATTTTCAGTACCTCTATACTCGAATTAGACAGCTCATTCAGCGCTGTGAGAGGGCCATGGAAATCGTTGCGCACAATGCCTCGCTGTCGGAAGCGAAGCGATCGAACTCGCAGTCCAAAAATCTGGAACACCTAACACGATTGACGACGGGGTTGACATTGGTCTACGTGCCACTTTCATTCGTATGCACCTTCTTTGGCATGAACTTTTCAATCTTCGGGCAGGGCGATCTACCCATCTGGATCTTTTTTGCGATCAGTGTTCCAGTGTTGTTGATCTTGTTGATCATTCTTCTATGGAAATTGACTAGCCGTTCGAAGAAAGAAGCTTCCTAAAAGCCTTGGTACAATCTGGTCGAGATCTGAGGATAGTATTGTGCCTTCGTGAGTACGCCCGTGTGTACATATATCTAGCGGGACCAGAATGCCACCTTTCCATCAAAGTCCGCAATCTCTGGGCACTTGCCCTTGGGATTGTTCTTGTTCCTTTCAGTCATGTGTTCTCCATACAATTTCTTGGCTTCTTCGTAGATCTTGTCAGCCTCCTCATCGTTGTCTTCTCGCCGCAACAAAACGCTTTTCAGGTTTCCGGTTCGCGCGCGTTCGGGTTTGTAGTAATCCCGCGTCTGGAAGACCTTCAGGGCGTGATCAATGTAATCGCTTGTAACAAAGTCAGTACATATCCATCAAATCGCTCACGTCACTCACTGTGCCTGGTCAAAGTTTCCTAGCTCGATGTACTGCTCTGCGAGCTTGTGACAAACATCTGCTGATCGATGGTGATACTTCCCGATCGTTTTCCCGTAGTGTCTGTACGCTCGTTCATACCATTCAAGAGCCTCTCCCTTTCCACACCCTGCATCCGCGTGATGCAGGCTGTTCGTGACGTTGCCAAGGGCATGAGCGATCCTGCCGGGCCTATTGAAGTTAGCAGTGACTGTGAGCGATGTTGTCACCCTTACGCAAAACCGGTGTCCTCATGGGCGTCGGTCAGCTTTTCATGGTACTGCCATGCCTGCTGTAGCGTGGATGAAGCCTTTTCGTATTTCCCTTTGAACCACTGTGCAAGACCAAGGTTGGCGGATGCAAGGAGATAGATTGACTTTGCCGTTTCAGAATCATCGCGAAGGCGATGCGCTTCGCGTAGGGCTGTTTTGAAGAGATTGGAGGCTTCATCGGTATTGCCCATCATCATCTCAGCAACACCCATCTCGTTGTCAGATACCATCAAGGCTTCGAAGTCTGTTTGAGTCTTTGGGTTGGGGTATTCCGCTCTCGTCATTTCTCGAAGAATTTTGTTACGTTCGTAGCATGTGTCTGGATCGTTGATCTCAGTCGCCACGCACCCGAGACTGGTATGAATCTCGCGCATGAGGCGCTCGTCGCTGTTTAGATGTTGCATGCAAATCTTCTCCGCAGTCTCAAAAATCCGTTTTGCTTGTCGAGACCTTCCCCGTTCATGATCAAACCTTTCGCAGTCAGATACATGCCCAGATAAAAGAAAATGACCGTGTGACTTACCATCCTGCGCAGTTCATCAGACTTACCAGCTCCACGGTAGCGACATTCTCTTGAGCTTCTCGCCCCAACCCTTCGTAATGGCATTGTACCTGGAGAACATGCGGATACAGATGCTCAGCTCTTGGCCAATCCTCGCGGTCGTAGTGCCAGAGTCTTTCCTTCCGTTTCCAGCGGATGAGGAGCAGACTGACAGCGATTTCAAAAGCTTCGCGTTGCTGGTTTTTGTTCATTTGAGAGCGAGACACGTCCTGCAGAACGCGATGTACGCTCAACTGAGGTTTGGCCTGTTGATCAATTTCTTCGTCAGGTTCGAGATTCGAGTCCAGACCCTTCTTTTCAAGTCGATCCTGTGTCCCGGAGTCGGTTTCCAGGTCGAAGGAATGTTTGCAAGCTGGAGCTCCACCATCTGTTTCACTGTTGTCGTCCACATCAGTGCTGACCAGCGAGAGTTTGTAGAGTGCATCAAGCGCTAGGCAATAATCCGAGTAGCTTTTTGGATAGTCTCTGACCTTGATACTTGGAATCCCTTCTGTCATGATGTCTTCTTGGATATGATCCGGGTCGAGAAGCGATAACACATTCATGACCATGCGCGCATCCGGATCGAGCTTATCAAGCATCCATACTGTGGCGGTAGTGTGTTCATAGTTGTCGTCTTTCGTCTCTGGTCTCCGTGCGAATAGCTTTCCATGAGAAGATTCTTCGCTGTACATCTTGAGCAGATTGGCGAAAGTGGAAGTTCCCTCATTCATCATATAACCAGCGAACTGTTTGAGAAACAGAGGATAGCCCTGGAGTCGGCGGGCCAAATCTCTCGCCGCCTGTTCGTTATCATGCGTGCGTTCCTTGTTCGTAAGCTTGTACAAAAATTCCTGGGCTTCTTCCTCTCCAAAAGCCTTAAGCTCGATTCTTTGACTGTAGGAGTCCTGATCTGTACCAGTGTAATTAGTCAAATTCTGAGCATGTGGCTTTCTGCTGGTAATGAGTACGGAGCCAGCCCCTTTTGGAGGCCAAAACCCCTTCATGAGCTCGAAGTTGTCTACGTTGTCGAAAACCAGGAGCCAGCGGGCTTTTCGTGGTGATGACGTGTCCTGGCAACCATATGTAGTGACAGGGTTCTCAAGCCACTTGAGTACTAGATTCCTGCTCATGACTTGGTCTCTGTCTTCTTGTACCCGCTGCAGCTTCAATTCCAATGCCATTTTACCGAAGCTGCTGTCTAGCTTGCCAGCAGTATCAGCGTTTAGCCAGAAGATGGCGTCGAATCTCTTTAAGCGGGTCTTGACGAATTGATACGCGATCGAGGTTTTGCCTGGGGGCGTCAACTCGGGTATAGTTTTGATATCAATAAACATACCTATGCCTCCCATACCAGAGATAGCCACAGTTTTCAGATCAGACATTACCCCCTGTTCTTCTTTCACCACTAAGTAGTCATGAATTTCGTCCATTACTTCTTCCCTGCCAAAGAAGTTCTTCACGGCCACGGACTCGTTGAGTAGGTAACAAGGAAGGTTCACCTCGACTGGCATAGACATTTCAGGACTGGGTCGTGGAGGAGAGGCATCGGTAGATTGATGTGTAGCTTGCGAATGGTTGTGCCTTCGAAGTAACGTCAGTGCGGTTGGAGTCATAGATGAGCGTGGTATGACTCACGTGGGGTCTCTCATCTCGAGTTCATTGGTTGATATACTATGGGCGCTTGTCCCCCTAAAACTCTCTGGTCTACTGGAAGTCACTGTTGATTGTGAGCTTTGATCAGTGAGGAAGTCAAAGAATCCATTTACCAGTCGAACTAATCTTCCTTGATGTGTCTTGGGTCTCGCGGAGAGTCTTGTGACAAAACTCGATGAGATAACTTCGGAATGTGTTGTGTTCAGTGAGCGCGCAAAGACCATTGTGATCGGCATCGACAGACACCACTTCCTCCACTGACAGTGAACTAGTGCGCGCTAGAGTTTCTGTACCCTAGTGTATGCATCAGCCGTTGACCATCGTACTAAGTATTTCCCGTACCACAATATGTAAACTCTCTTTCCTCCACTTGTTGAGCTTCGTGCCCCTCTTCTTCTTACTTTCCTTTCTTTCCGTCGTGGAGAGGATTCGAGCTTTTAGCCCAAGATCCTCGAAGTCTTGGGACCAATGAAACAGTTGTCGTAGTTCGTTCTCATCCGAAAGAGCCTTGGGTGGTGACAACATGCGAAGCTCAAGAATAGCAGCCGCCTTTTCCCATTCTGGTTTGTTGCTTTCTCGCAGATGCGGGGTTCCTAGAAAGACAATACCCGCCAGATTTTCGATCAGGAGTTCCGCCGCTTCACCTTTTCGGTGCGCGTGTACCAGTAGCTGTTACGCTATCAGTAGGGTCACCCACAGTCACTATTATGCAGACTAACTCGCTTGAGTATTATGCCACCTAGACTATGGCACAGGAATAGAACAGGCCGTTGTCTGCTCTACATGACTGTTTAGCGGGTGGGACGTCACTAGGGCACACAAGACTAACGTCCCAACTTCCCAACAGCTCTTCCAGTTTCGGGAGCAACGACTTCGCTTTAGAGTCTAAGTCCTCCCAGTGCTCAAGATTGGCAGTTGTCAGGTGATGTTCCAGTATCGAGATGCAGACGTTCAAGGCCGGTTTGCCCTTCTCAACGAGGTCACGGAGAAGTGGCCTATCGCGGACTTGACTCCAGCTTTCAACCGGTTCATCTCCAATACCAGGTATCAAAATAATGCTGCATATACGTAAGCACACAAATCGACAGTGTCTGAGGACTTACTGAGCCTTGGGCTTTGAGTCGCGCTGCGGAGTGCCTCCGTTGTCGGGCCAGTGACGCAAGGAGCATTCTGCCATCCTTTAGTGCGGTGAAACCGAGATTCTCACGTAGCATATAGTACAAGTCGTGTTCGAATATGAATAGTAATATTCCTCGGCTTAGACGTGTTGGCGATGGGTTACTCGGGTGCGGAACACCAACGCTACCAGGCTGAGCTGCGCCACGCGGTCAGCGTCGTTGCTGCCTGGACGCATGTGCATCCTTGTGTTACCTTGCATCCCGCGGAATGCAAGCCCACATCTTGCGACATATGAAAAAGGCAAACAGGTTAATTATGAGCGCCCACCCGTAAAGCGGGGTAGGCGCTGTCAGCCATGTTTCGTTTGGCTTGTCTTCGCACACAGCAGCGGCTGCATGCTACACGATTAACCAAAATCTTCGCCCGCACCGCCCAAATGACAGCGGAAAAGAGAGCAGAAGACCCATGGGCAGACCGTGAGGTCGCTAGCTGGAAGTCGGACCGGGAGTTCACCATTGGTGATACTCGTTTCGTCACTAGGCCAACTGATCACGTAAGCTTCCCCTCCACAAACACTGCAACGTCACTGACGGTGTGTAGCACTCCCAGTGGTTTCCGAAAGCATTGGTTACTGTCGTCAAAATAGCCCCCGGCGATGTCATTGATGCGGGATACCTCAAGTCACGTATACAGCAGTATACACATGATTGCGACGTCTTCAGGCAGGACTTTTTGCATTGTGTCCAGTTCTCGGGTGCATGCAGAGAGGACATTGACTTACAAGAGGACGCAAAAGCACAGCTTCAGGCGTGGGGAAATTCCTGGGTAAAGTTTACACCCACGAATGCGACGACTGAAGATCCTCCATCTGGACCATACGTCGCGCTGCACGAGCGGATGCAACAAGTTTGGCGAGTGTATGACGACGACGCAAAAGCTTTCTTGGTCGCGACCTGGCCTTCCGAACATGACAGAGAGTGAGTAACCAGAACTACATATGTCGTTGTCATGCTTATTACTTTTGATAGACGGTATGAGAGCAATGGCCTGGCAGGAAGAGCTTTCGCGTCACTGGGAGTAGCCGTTCCCTCACGACTGTACTTCACCAAGTCTAAGGAAAAACCACTGGACGGCGTTCGGATAGCGATCAAGGACATGTACCATCTCAACGGACTTCGGACATCCGTCTGCAATCGAGCATACCATGATCTCTACCCCCCACAGAGTGAGACTGCCGAGTGCGTTCGAACGCTGCTTTCTTTAGGAGCTATAGTTGTCGGAAAGACCCACTTGAGCTCTTTCGCATGGAAGGAAGAGCCAACAGAGTGTGTTGAGTACCTCGCGCCTTTCAATCCACGAGGCGATGGGTACCAGTCTCCGGCGGGAAGTAGCAGTGGGAGCGGAGCAGCTATCGCTTCCTATGATTGGCTCGATTTCACGCTTGGTACCGATAGTAAGTCAAAACATTTCAGCCCTCATCGCTCAATTAGTCTAACGAGCGACAAGCGACTGGAAGCGGAAGACGACCGGCTCTTTGGAACGGCTGTTTTGCTCTGAGACCTTCTGAGGCCAAACTATCCTCCAAGGATATGGTCTTGACGTGCCCTCAATTCGATTCGCCATCTCTCTTCGGTCGTGATATCCATGCCTTCAACAGTCTCGTTCAGTCGTGGTACGGAGCGTCTATCAAGAGCCAAGACCGGTCGAACCGTCCATGGAGAATTGTGTATCCACTAGACTTCCTGCCATTGGGCAACACTGATCAGATGGCTGTATTTGATGAGTTTGTTGACGATTTGGCGGCATATCTCAAAGTCGAAACCGAGAAATTCTCCATCGCCAAGAAATGGGAGCTATCTCCACCTGTGGAAGAAAAGAACGTGGCGAAGTACATGGAAAATGTAGGTTCTCGTGAGATGAGTTAACCCAGGATGCTCACACACGACTCAGGTCCAGGAACACGGCTTCTACTACGAGCTGTATCATTGTTTCGAAAAATTCCGAGAAGACTACAGAAAGCAGCACGACAAAGAGCCATTTACTACCATGTCCGTGAAGGGGGTATGGTAAGTGCTGCATGGCTCTCCACAATCGTCTCATACTAAGACTGTTAGGGATGTTGGGAGGCTTATCGACGAGTCCCAAAAGGATAGGGCCTGGCAGCGGTACGAAGTGTACAAAGATTGGTTCATCGAGAACATCATCCGCCCAGATGATACGAGGACCATCATAGTATTGCCTATCGAGGAGCTCGAGCCGCGCTACAGAGATATCCCGCCCGCACAGCCTGTCGAAGCCCCGAAAGGGATTAGCGTCTTATATCTCAGTCCAACACTAGGCGCACCTGAGATTGTGGTGCCGGGTAAGCACATCAACCAATCCCGAGAATTTTCACTAATCTCTCCAGCTGGGCAAATTCCATACAGCTCGCGTATCACGGGACAGAAAGAATACCTACCTATGGCGGTATCTCTGCTTGGAGCTCCAGAAACGGATTTGGAGTTGATCGAGATGACTGAACGCTTCCTCAAACATGTGGGAAGGTCTACCCGGGTACGCACGGGAAAGACGATGTTCGGTGACAAGGAGAGATGACTGCCTTGCAGATTGTAGCATGCGCGAGCAAGCCTGTTGGCGTTGGTCTAGACTGATGAACTGGTGTCACGCCGTTTCCGGCGAAGGGATCCTCATCGGTAGACATGCCATTTCCACACAAAATCGATCCTCACAAGAAATCCGATCCGTCTTTCATTCCTACATACAGCCGGATGCAAGTCTCATGTCACCATCACCCGTTGGCCATTCTCCAATTGGCTGACCACGTTGTGCCGTGTCATGCGTGGCGATAAGGTAACCCGCAGAGGAGGCTTGCGACCATTGCAGGTGCGGAGCTATGGCTGCGCGTGCATGCAATAAGCAAGTACAGTGATTCTGCACACATGCATACTTCTCTTCAGCCTGACCCCGCACGAGGCTGAACATCTTGCCCCAGTTCTGAGCACGATATGAAGGAGTCCTCCTCGCAACGAGTGAAAATCATGCTCTAGCTTCCGATTGTTCATATCGAGACATTCCCAATCTTCGCAACTTCCTGACCGACCGCTGGAACTTTAAGACAGCCCGACCTTCACTTCTTCGGTCACGACAACGATCAGTAAGTCGCTATAGACAGTATGAACCTGCCATCTTCACGGAACAAGTTCTAAGAACTCACCATATTAGCTCTCTCAATCTACAACACCGTCGACAAACCAGTATGACTCCAATCAACTCGCTCGCTCCCAAATCCACTAGGGCTCAGCCCTGGAGGTCCATCTGGCCCGCTCCAGTTGAGCGACAGGACAGCTTCCGTGGTCTCGGTTTCAAGAAAGGGGAAATTATTGTCGCAGATGGTAACGCTGGAAGCTTCTTTCCTCATGGAGAGTGGGAGGTCGAACAGGAGTCGAGCGCATGCGGTGCCAAGCAGTGCCAGGGTTAGAAAGAACGACATATCTGCATGGCCATTAAGCCCTTTAGTAACTTCAAGTACGCATGCAATGAAAGGCTGCAATTTATGACCTCAAACTATGAATTGCTTCTACAATCTGATGGGGAGAAGCCTATGTGACCAAAGCTGCCATCTCCCTTCAAAGTCGCGTACCTACGTAGTTGAATCAAGTGCGTCTACTCTGGTTGCCATGCGCAAGCTCAGCATCAGCATAGTAAACCAGAGCTCTGACCTCAACACTCTCTCTTGGAGGCTCTGAAGGCACACTGGCCGGATTAGGAAATGCAGAGTGCGCAACACCTTTGCCTGTTAGCAGTCGTAAATCTGTTTGAAGACGCCCACTCACCAGATATACCTGTAGGGTCTGAGTCGGACTGCATGAAGACCCACATCTCATTCGGTTGTTGGTCGCTGATGTAGTACCATTTGTGACGATCCGATCGATAAATCTGGCGGTTTTCCACCACGTATTCCGCGTACACCAGATCTGCGGCTTCAAAATCGGTGGAGGATTCGACGGTACGTGCGTCGCAGAGTGCTAAGGGCCAGTCTCGCACAGGGCCTCGCAAAGGCTTCCAGGTGCTGGGAGCAACTGTTAGTGTACATCGCCGCTAGTGCTCTATGTTCACTTACTTCACACATTGAACTCGACCTTGCAGAAGCTTCTCCGCCTTCTCATCGCCATTGAGGCGACGTACCATGTCTGCAGCCCAGGTTGCTGTCGTGTCTACATGGCATCAGTAATGGCAAAAGGTATGACAGATGTCTCTGGTAGTCCTACCGACATGTGCCATTGAAGTAGGCTGGTTCCACTGATAGGGCTCACCAGTCGCAACAGGAAATTCTGGATGACGTTTGCGGACCGTGTGCTCAAAGATCTGGACGTGAGCGGCTCCGAGTAGCTCTCTTAGGGTGTTGGCAATCTCGCTCAGATAGACCTGAACAAGTTTCGTATCGTCCTCGAAGTCGTCGTATGCCATCTTGGACTCCATGTTCACGATCTTGAAACCTTCCTTCTCCAGTGAGAAGTCCTTGATGATCGGTCGAGCATCCTCGATCTTGAGGTCCTCGCGTCTCTCCAGTTTTATGTTTGAGCGCTCGAAGCCCTCCGGAGGCTCGAAGCGAAGCGAATATGGCTTGACTGTGGAGTATAAATCGCCCCTTTGGAGGAAATGCATCGATGTTTCGATCATGTTGTGCCTAGATAGCTTCAATGGTGGGTGTCACTCAGAAGATGTTGGCTAGAGTTGTATTGACCGAGGCTAGGAAACGGGCCTTCTTGATCTAGAAAGAGCACAAGGCTTAGGCGCTGACATGTATTCTGATACTGGCACTGGGTCTGAACCGTGTGAGGGGGTCTTGCATGTAGAACGCGGCACACAGTTTCGCCGCGATTTACCACATACTCCTCGATGTCATTGTGATCTGCAACAAACTATTGTGAGTCCCCCAGCCTTTGTTTTACCCCCTTCCAATGAAACACAGACGTTTTTCTCTCCAACGGTGTATACCATAGACGCAGAAAGATCTTCATTGCAATAGATCACAAAACGCTCCGGAGACTACCACTTCCGGTTGAAGTCAGCTGGTATTATGCCGTGGTGCGTTCACATACCTAGGCAATGTAAGCATCCGGTCAGGCGGCGTGGCAAACGGTAGTTGCATGTAAGTGCAAAGATCAGATGGAGCGGTTAGGGCAGACCTGGCTTACAAGGTAGCGCGAGATCGCGTATCGATTGGTATCTAGAGAAGCTTCAAAAGTGCCAAGAGCTCAACGGTCATGTAGTGCAACTGCTATCAAAGTGCCCATACGCAAGCGTGTGTGTCAACTTGGCTGTGCCAGCGCGTCGTGCCGAACTTCCCGCTTGTCACATACCTTACTACACGCGCCACACTGATCCGTCTACCAATGAGAACCAGTGCTTTGGTGCACCATGCTGCAGCGGCAGCCACACCCCGCGGACGTGAAAGATTCAGCCGTAGCAGCAGCAGCCAGTGCTTGCCCGATGTGAATGGCGTCTCCGTCGAGCCTAGCGCTGAAATACAGGCGGAGCCGCAGACTTAGGGGGTTTCGAGCTTCCCCCTACCTGCCTTGTCCACCGTGAACTGCCCAGGCTCAAATTTCCCTGCCATCTGCACGGCATTCCACCACAATGAAGTACCCTGTGTCGTGTCTTTTCATGCGTGCATGTGAAACGTTGCTTCTGATGCCAGAGTGCTGACCTTTGAATTGTGTGACGTCATCAGCGCGCCTAGGTACTGGCATTAGTCAAGCAATAATATTATTACTTCGGGGATCTTCAATCTCGGAACTCTCTCTATCGGCACGCGTTCCGAGTATGTATCAGCTCTCCAAATCATACAGCAAGCACCCCCCAGTCCTGAAATTATACACGAAAGCCTTTCCCACAGCTCCTTCTCCATTTGTTCCACCTTCGCCCTTGTTTTCTACCCACTTCGCCCTATAACCTAGCAGTAAGTCATGCAGCTCTTGCAGGTATTTCCTCTCAGCGAGCGGCATCTTCTGAATGAAATAGCGCCATGAATCTGGTTCGCTGAGACGCGTCTCCTTGAGCAGGTTCATGACCTCTTCCTTTGACTCGATAGCAGCGATGGGTGCGGATTGGAACGCGGAAAGGAGATCTGTCGATCGCGATTGTGCGGCTTCAACGATAGACCATTTGTTGCTCTTCTTGGATCGGTGCTGGGCGATAAGAACGTCGACGTTCGCTTTTGACGCGTTGGAAGTGTTGCTTGAGGTTGGTGGTGGAGCTTTGATTAGGCGGGCTGCGCTTCCCTCGCGTTCTTCACGGTCTCGGAGTTCGTTGCGAAGGTAGTTGAGGAGATCGGTGCTGCGCAAATCTGTATCTTCCTTCTTTGCGATGGATTTGACTTTGAGCTCCGGTTTGTCAGGGGCGACGCCGTGTTTGATCACGATCACCCAGCTATGTCTGTCTTCGCGATAGTGACGTAAAATGTCTTCGATGGAGTGCGCGTCGACGGCGAGTTCGGCGGTATAGCCGTGGGCGATGAGGTCTGCTACCATCTTGATGCCAGTGGAACGCAGGACGTTCGGATCGAAGCTAGCGACTAGACAGTCGCAGCGTCGTGGCATCCAAGAGATGGATGGCGTGTCTTCTTCAGCGTGCTTCCGCAAGAACGTCGACTTCTCGGGTTTCTTGATATACCGACTCATCGAGTTGACAAGTCTGTCCCACCCCAAGTTTACACCAACAGCGTGGTAAGCAGCCGCTGGATGTGCATGACTCGAGCCTCTCGGGCGGTATTCTTCGATCAGCTTATCGTACCGGCCACCTGCAGCAAGCACTTCCCTCTGCTTTGTGTCGAACAGACATTGGAAGAGAATGCCACCGGAATAGAACTTCTCATTGAAGCTGCTCAGTACACTGATGTAGACCTTGCGCTTCACGCCCCACAACTTCATGTAACTGATAACAGAGGTTAGGTGTGCAAAGACGACGTGAGTCCGATCAAGGTACTTAGTGCCTTCGAATAGTCGCCGCAGCTTTGCGAAGGCCTTTTCTGGGGTGTCGCGCCAATCGAAGCGTGCCAGGTCATCTAACGATGTCGATGGGATACCAATGTCGGAGGACCGTAATTCGTTGCGTATCAACTGCCAGTTGTTCTTCCCGATATTCAGCTTACTAAGGACTGCCTTGACTGCCGCGCGCTTTGGGACACTGATTCTGCAGAACTCCAAGATCATATCTAACAGATCGGCATGATTCAGGTGGAAGCACATCTGCGTTGACCGGAATGAAGGAAACTCATCGATGATTTCATCGACGACCTTGAGAACCTCTGCCTCTTTCAAAGTAAGGTCAAGCGTATCGTAGGACAGTATATCGAAGTCTGCCTCGCCGTTACTACGTGGAGCACTTCCGGTGTAGTCGTCACGGTAGACATGACCGATCGTAAAAGTCTTCTCTAGGAACGCCCCACCTCGACCGATGCTACGTGCGTACGGCAATGTCAGATCGTAAGGTAGCTGGACCAGGGTTCCAGAAGGATCGAAAAGCTTGACGACCTTTGTGTCAGCATAATGGTCCGACCAGGGTAGTAGAACTTGACGTTGTATCTCAACAGCGCCATGGCTCCGGAAAACCATGGCCAATCTGTCCCTCACGAGATTCTGTAGAAGCACATCATTGGCCTTGATCTTCTGAGTGGTCGCGCTCAGATCCCAAGCATGGTCTTTTGCTTGCGTATCGGGCTTTTGTGAGAAAAGAGCAGCCATCATCTTTGCGTAGTGTGGTGAGTTTCGATCCGATAGGGCCTTGAGCGCTTCTTTGACGGCCTCGTCCTCCATCTGAGCAGGCACCTTGCCGCTTCTCAGAAGCTCCGTACATCCAGGCCTCTCTGAAGGGCGATGACTGATGAGTGACTTGATGATGCTACCCTGCAATGACTTTTCCGGTGTCTCAAACTCCTGTGGAAGATCATGTTTCCGCTCCCGCAACGATCGAATGACTTTGTCGCGCTCCATAGCAGTCCTTAGAGGAAAGCACATCTCGAAGAAGATGATGCCCATGGAGTACATGTCCACCTTGTTGTTGTAGTCGCCAATAACAGTTGAGCTGAGCTCAGGAGCAACATAAAGCGCAGTACCGACACTCCGCGTCATGTCGCCACCATCCTGTGTACCGTTGGAGGACTTTGTGTCAGGTCTCTGATACTGGCCACTGGTGGCTAATCCAAAATCACCAATCTTAGGCACCTTAGCCATATCGATGAAGACGTTGTCAGGTTTGAGATCACGATGGATGATACCGTGGCCATGGATGTGAGCGAGCCCTTCGAGAATTTGCCGGAACAATCTCCAGTACTCGTCTGGATCGTCATAAAGTCCGGTACGTATCAAATCTCGGAGTGTCTGCTTCTCGCAAAACTCCATTTGAATGTACAAGATTGACCTCGAGGGCTTTGCAGGTGTTGAGTCGGACATGGCGCGTTTCTTGACTGGCGAGAGTGGCCCTATGCTTGCATCATCCTCTGCCTACAGTCAGCTTGTTGTATACATAACGCTCCATGTCATTGGCTGCTTACCTGAGTCGGAGCCAAAGATTACTGCACCGACGTCATCTTCCGATTCTGCGTCAGACCCAAATTCGATCTTGGGATATCCACTGGAGCTAATGAAGTCTAAACCACCAGTGCTTCTTCCGTGAGCGCCACCATCAGTCGTAGTCGTGCCTGGAGAAACGTCCGATTCCCAGTCAGACTCGTCGCCATCTGATGTTGCCGAGTCATAGTAATCATCCGCTTCGGCCTCTGGCCAGGCGGTGTAATAACGTACCACACAGCTGTGGTTGAGCCGCGAAAGTAGCATGACTTCGGAAAGAACTTCGCTTAACGCTGCAGCAGACTTCTGCTTGATCTTCTTGATAGCATAAAGACGACCGTCGACTTTGTTACGGGCCTTTACGACTTCGCCGTACCCGCCCTTGCCCAAGCGACCTTGTTCGGCCCAGTCATTCGCGTATCGTGAGTATGACGGAACAACACCAGAGGAAGACTCTCGTCGCAGCCTATACCGACCTAATGAAGTTGAAGAGTTCCTCGAACGTACGGGTGTGGAGGGTCGCTCGTATACGTCTACATCGTCGCGCAAGAACTCACATGGGATGAGGTCAAAGGCTGAGGATCGTTTCTTGGGGTCGGGCTTGAAGAACTTGCGCAGAACTTCTTGTAACGGTTCGGAGCAGCCAAGAATATCGGACAGTTCTTTGGGCGAATTGTACTTTTCAGGCACATCGAGGCCGAAGAGCATCTGAAGGAACGTGACGCCGAGATCCCATACATCTGTCTTGCGGGTGTGACGCGCATCCTGAGACAGCTCGGGCGCTATCCAGTAGAACGATCTTACAATGTTCATCGGCTGTTCATCCCAACATAAGCTTCGCAGATGATAAAGAGAGCCTTGAAAGCTGGCGTCGGCTAGCAATACTGTGATTCCACCACCGGGCGATCTCTTGAACAGGATGTTGTGAGGGTGAATGCGCTTATGGACTATACCATTGCGGTGGTAGAAGTCCAGTGCTTCTAGAAGCTCGATGGTCCAGGAACGAACTCTTGCGACTGGTAGGGGTCCATCGTCGGCAAGCCGCTCGCCTAAAGATCCTTTGTCGGCGTGATCCATGAGGATGCTAATTTCCCATCCGGAATCGGGTAGATGCTCTACTTTGAACTCCAGCACCGCCATGATGGCTCCTTGTCGCAGTCGCTTGATCTCTTCCATCTCGTCTTCGAATTCCATAACGGCCTTTTTGAGCTGTGGGCCAGCAGCAGCGTTTCCGCCTCCCACCCGAGCACGTTTTAGTACTAATGTAAGCGTTGCTGTGCTTCCGGCCGGTTTTACCAATAGCTGTTCGGTCAAAGGGCCA